CAATGTGATTTGATTGACAAAACCTCAAAACTTGGAACGCGTACCATCGAACTTATTTAGAAGGCTAATTTGGGGCTCGTTTCATTGTAAGACCAACAATCCTTCTTGAACTAGAGGCAAAGCTGCTTCTCTTGGTGCTAAAGCTTGACACTGGTGAATCCTCGATCGTGCTATCCTAGATGCTCCATCATTATGAAGTCTTGCAATGATTCCTTCAATCTCTACAGTTCTTTGTTATAACGTTGTTGGGGTAGAGAGAATTTGCCTCAAGAAAACATTGGGCTTCTGGCAGTCACTAATCATTCAATCAAGCTTCAAAATAAGGAAAGCCCTAAGTTTATATATAAATTTTCTCCTTTGAGCAATTACACCAAATACACAAGCCTCAAGTAACCAACAACACCCAAAATATGATAAAATCCTCTAAAACCTTGTATATCCTTATGTGGAAATTTTTCCGAACTTCAACATCTCATATCTCTTAATCCGACTATCCAAACAAACTCAAATTTTACATGACATATTGATGTATTCTTATTAACTTCTATAACAAATTTCAATTGCAAATTCATTGCGGATCTTGAGATATCTTGAAAATCCTAACAGTCACTTCAAATCCTTGTCTTTATACACCCGCATGCAATTTTCTTCATATCTCACAAAATATAAGCTCAAATACCACGAAATTTGTATGTATAGCTTCTTAACACAAAATATTAAATTTTATAAAAACATTTGAGCCAAAAATTTGTCCAAAAACTCAAGTTATGGCTCCAACCATTACTATAAACAAAATCACTCACTTATTGCCTTTGATTTGGAAATGCCGCCTTCAACTCCTTATAACTCCTTTATATGAACTCCAAAAGTAACAATTCTTCCATAAAAGATGTAGGCCTTAAAATCACCGTTCCAGGCGCTTCTTTTAATCTTCAAAAGCTATCGTACAACTCCTCATATCCTCAAAAGAATAACACTATGTCTTAATTTAACACCTTAACTTTGAATACCTATATCTTCTTCACAAAAACTCCAAATCATACAAACTCTTCACCCAAATTATACCCAAAATCCTTCAAATAGAGGAATAATCTACATTCTAATAAAAAAGAGCTAGCTCTGATATGAAAGATGAGTGTAGTCTTGACAAACTGTCATGAATTTAGAATACTGACTGGAAATCTAAACAAGAAATTCAAGAAGAATCGACAAGAACTAGATTAATCATATGAGTACAAGAACAATACTTGAGAGGTGAGCTAGAACTCCAAGAGCTATATTGTCGAGACTAAGGATCTCCTCAGTCTCGGTTCTTATATATATTACAAGCTAGGAAGCTTCTCAAGCAGCTTCTACAAGTTAGGAAGCTTCTCAAGCACCTTCCATGAACTTAAAAACTTCTCAAGTAGCTTCTACAAACTACAAAGCTTCTCTAGAACCTTCTAGAATCTTCTACAACTTCCTAGTGTATGTCTTTGACAGTTAGCTTGTTCTTCAAGCTACCACATGGAGTTAATTTGTTCTACAAGCTACCTACATGTGATTAACTTGTTGGCTAAGTTTCTATCCTACAAATACATCTAAAGTCAAAATCACATTTATGAAGCTTCTAAAAAGCTTTTCTAAAAGACTTTATGAAATTAATCTGTATTTACCTACTTCTATGTAATCATATATGTAACTATTAGAATAAATGTATATATTTGAGATAATATTGAAGAAAGTAAATTGAATAGATTTTTTAATAAATAAAATAATAATAATAATAATAATATAATCTTAATAGAAGTTTAGTGTATGATGAAGCCAAATTAGGCTATCAATATTTTTATAATAGTCTTACATCTTTTGAGAACCTATTTTTAATCAACATACTATCAAAGTCAAATTTAGAATCTATTGTCAATTCTAAATTTTTTATTCTTTAGCACAATCTAAAGTTGCCATTATACATTCTAAAAATGAAGTTTTATAAAAGTAAATTAAATTTAAGATCTAATTTAGAAATATAGATTATATATAAGATTTTGATCTATTTTTTTTATAGTTGGATATCTACTTCCAAATTGTCCATGTTGTTTTACAATTATAGGTAGTAACAATGGTCTTGATATTTGAAATCTTGATTGTTATTTAAAAAAAAATATTGAAATATATATTTCTTTGTCAAAAATAAATATATATATATATATATATATATATATTTATATTTTGATAATCTATTAATAAATAATAATAAAAAAAATTAATATGATAAAAAATATTAAAATATTTATAATTGAATTAAGCATGTAATTATTTAGGTGTTAAAATAAAATACTATGAATTTGGAATCTTCTTACATCAAAAATTATACTTGATACTTCAAATGCTTAATGCATGAAATTCCATCATGTTTTTAACTATCAAGATACAACCTATAATATCTCTATCAACTATAAAAGTAAAATATTAAGTATTTACTAATGCATCTATAGATATTATTTGTTTTAAAAGAATATTAGATGAACTTAGAATTAAAGACAAAAATTCTACTTTCATTCTTAGTCACAATCAATCTTGCATATAATTAGTAGATAATCCAATTTTATACTCAAAAACCAAAAACATAAACTTAGAGTATCATTTTATTAAAGAAACATCAAATATTAAAGAAATATAAGTGAATATTATTTTTACTTTTTATCAACAAAGAAATTTTCTTACAAAACTTTAACTTCTTTATATTTTTGAAATTAACCAAATTAATATTAGAATTGTGCCAATTACTACATCAAAATTATAAAGTGAGTTAAAAAAAACCTCTTCTTAACCATATTCATCCATATGAAATGTCTTATAATCTTATGCTTAAAATTTGGATTCTTAATATTGGACATATCAGTACAATTGTTCCACCACTAACTTAGATTTGACATGTAAAATTCCTAGTTTTTTCATTTGAACTACTATAATTTGAAAAAAATTCTTTAGATTCCACTTTTACTATTACAATATGATAGACTTCATTACCATTTATTTGACATAAATAAGGAAATTAACCAAGTATAAACCACCTCCAATTACACAAACTTCAAACAAGAACTGAAAACGACCATATCATCACTAACAAATCTATATGTATAACTAGTTCGCAAATTAGTCTTAGAAAAATAGACTTTATTTTTTAATTTCTAGAAGTTAGGATCAAGTGAACATTTTTGTTACAAGAAACAACCAATGTCAAACTCTTTGCATGTGCTCAAAGACCTATTGTTAATTTTGTCAGTAGCCACCTACAATAAAACATCTCTATTGGTCAATAATAATATGAAGTGAAGTTGTGTGTGAAAGGAAGTGTTGATGAAACACTTATTCCAATAAATTATGTCATCACTATTCTAAGTCAACATGACCCCACCCTATAACTTTTTGCTAGTGGCTTCTCAAGTTTTTTGGATCCCACACTTTTAATTTTAGGCAGTTACTTCTATGTTTTATGCATGTGCTCTCACATTAATAAAGACAATTTTGTTTACTACTTCATGTGATTATTATTTACAAGTGCAACAATACTTAGTGAACAGCAGCAGAACCATGACAAGGGCATTGTCTGTTGGTGCCATTCTCACTGAGGAACTAATGTATTATGAGCATTTGGTGTAGCTCAGTGGACAATGAGACATGTTTTGGTCTGAAGGAGCAGAGTCGGTGCAATTTACCGCATACAACACACAGTGGAGTGGTGTGGAGTTGGGGTGTTGGCAGCAGTGCTATCTGACAGAGTGCAGATAGACCATGATGAGGATGGGATGCTGGGAAATCCCTTCTCCAGAGCCGCTACTGGAAAGGGTTTTGTTTGTCATGTACTTGCCCTGCTGCAGCTCCACACCTGGTTGCCCACGCGGTTGCCTCCTCCTCCTGATGCTGCTGTTCTTTTAAGATTCGACGTCTATAACAGCCTATCACTTCCAGTCACATCATTACTATTCATACCCACCAATTCAAAACAACCGTCACCATCAGTAGAGATGCTATGCTTCACCCTTTCTGTTTTCAGCAATGTCACTTGAGACTTCTCATGATCTGTACTAAAAGCTTCCCTCCCTTACAAATGTACATCCTATTTTCATGTCGTGTAATACTTTTCAAGCATTCTTATATGTTTGAACATTCTTGAATAACTTTTAACTTCACTACAGTAGAACCTTGTAGAATTTGTGTCAGTTCGCTCATGAGTTTCATCGGTTCATCATTTCAAATCACTCAAATGGCGGAAGAAACTTACTGTCGAGTCATAAATACGGACTGTGATCAAATTTAAGAGAGGCGGCTGCTGTGTCGGCATCAACATTCAATTACGGTGACTCAGTTTGCAACCTGAACCAGTCGAGATTGAATTGCAAATTGAAACCTGTACCCCCGGGAACAGAAAGAAAGAATGAGAGAACCCCACCATGTGGCTCTTATTGAATACGTCGACAGACTGCTTAGGCTCGAGGTCTATACGCATCGGGACAAATAACCGAAGTAGCAATAGCTCCATAGCTACACAACCATCCAACTTCACGCGTGTCTGATCGAATGCTGCCAACACAATCTGCGGGAGAAAACACCTCTTTCGAAATCAAAAGCCACACCAAACTTTCCAAACGTCGTGGCGGCAACAAACTCTGAAATGCAGTTTGAATAAACATTAAGAGGGCAAAGGAAGAAGACCAGTCTTGAGAAGTAAATCTCCGACGTGGATGTTTGGTCGGAACCAATGAGATGGTCGTAACCCGCCAATGTGGCGAACGCGGTGGTATGAAGGGAAGGAGTAAATAGGCGGGGACTTTGAACTGGCCATGATCGTATTGGCTTGCCGCCCCAGAGTTCTCTTTGTTCTGTTGTCAGAGTTTGAACTGATTAAGGTTGTAGAGTTGCAGAGCTGCAGGGCGCGCGACTGTGCAATTGCAGTGGATTTGTCATACGTGAGCCATCATTGCTGCCACTTCTTGCTCGCTCTCGGTTTGTGGGTTTGTCCTCGGATGCGTTAGTAAGCAGTCTGTGAGTCTGTTTTAGTCCTTTGTAACTCTCTGTTTGGTATCTAGCTCTCGGTGCATACTGTTGGCCAGTGGAGTGTCAAGAGGGTGAGGATTTATGGGGGTTGACGATGAGGGGAGAGAAGGGTGTATCTCTGCATATATAATTCCGTATCCTTGTCGACAGTCGAAGGATCAGTTAATGCAGAATCTGGATTTTGTGGTTTTGGAATCCGAAGTAGTGAGGTGTGGAGAGTTGCTTCTTCGTTACAGAGGCCAGTTTTCTGTCGAGGATATATTCTAGTTGTCATGAGCACGGTTGGCACCAAGTGATGTAGTTCTGCCTCCTGTTGATATGTTTTTGTTATTCTCATTTGTAATGACTTAGTTGAAAATGCTGCTGCGTGTCAAAATCTTGAACGCTGTTGCCGAGGGTAAATAGAAGTTATTTCAAATGAGATTTGATTACCCATCTTTAGTTTGTTTCTGAGTCGATCCCGTGCTCTTTGACTACTCCCTCTTCGACATCAGATTATTGAAGCTATTGCGCTGTAGGTTAATGTCAATATGGTAGCTGTTGTTGGCACTTCTAGACGAAGTGCATTGTTCATGACTCATGTTAGGTCGCCCTACTGTTTTAAGTGTCTAGCCGTGCATTGTGCTGTGCAGCTTGAAGGCCTTGCATCGTATTAAAAGGCGCACATATTACACGTCGTGGATTGTTCAGGTATCAGTCAAGGAGTCAACATGGTCCAGCAACCTGTGACGGAGGTTATTGCAGATTCGACTTGCAGCTCACTACTTCGCGAACTTCAGGTTAGTTCTAATCCAGTTTTCAATCGCGGCGATATCAGTCTCTTTGGTGACTTGAGCCTTTCCCCCTGCCCATGTCTTGAGTGATGTGGTTATTAATGCACACCAATGTTATTTACGGACAAGCGTCCTTCAGAGGCAAGCATTACTTCTGTTTTAAACGATTGCTCTACCTCAAGATTTGGCCTCATCCTCATCGGAAAAATTAATGCAGCGAATATGGGACGAAGTAGGAGAAAATGATGTGGATAGGGACAAGATGCTATTGCAGCTGGAGCAGGAGTGTCTAGAGGTGTACAAAAGAAAAGTAGATTCTGCTAACAATGCTCGAGCTCGTCTACACCAAGTTCTTGCTAGCGCTGAGGCAGAATTGTGTGCCCTGTATTCTGCACTCGGAGAACCCACTCAAAATCAACTTGTAAGCATCTTACTTCTCTGTACCCACCATTTGGAAGTTCTGTATGTTGGGAGGTAGGTGCATGCCTGCCTGCTAGAAATAGTTGCCCAAGAGCGTGAAAGCAGTGTTATGAACTGTCCTGCCACGTTATGCTTCTATTCTTGTATTGTATTGAACCAGATTTGATTCCTAACTCACTCATTCAGAGATGTATATTATGGTCTCACAGACCGCATTTAGAGAAAAGATCATTGATCTGTGAACATTTTACCCTTGCAAGTCAGTGGCTAATTATCAATTATGAATGTGATTGTAATCTTTAATTGAAGGAAAAGAGAACTGGTACACTGAAGGATCAAATTTCTGCTGTCAGACCTCAGTTGGATGAACTACGTCGAAGGAAAGAAGCCCGAGCTGCACAGTTTTTGGAAGTTAAAACTGAGATTGCCAAGATTTGTGAGGAAATTGTAGGTAACTACGGAGATGTATGTGTGTCTGAGGAGGATCTGACACTCAGGCGTTTAGACGAGTATCATGGACAACTGGCAGCACTCCAGAAAGAGAAGGTGGGGAACTCATAAAACTTCTCTCGTAAGATAGTAATAGATATCACTGCGATTGTTGTGCGTTTGTTCAAACATTGAAATCAATTTATGAGCTCTTGAAGTAGCTCATTCGGTAATGGGAACATATTTTGAACTGCATGTTCAATTTTGAAAGGTGGGAAGTACCAATTTCGTCTCTTATCTCTACTTCTCCGTGCCTTACATTTGAAGATGGTTTTATAATTTGGAGTAATGAAAGCTCATGAATTTGAATCATTGGGATGGGAATCCCTGGAGTACCGAAAGTAAATCAGGATTTCCCCTTCTACCCTCAGTTGAGTAATACAGTTGCAATGATACCCCATCAACAATCACACACTAGAACAAAGTTTTCACCTCTGAAACGACGATTTGACGGTCTAACGCGCTTTCTGTCCGAGGGGATTTGAACAAAAGGTTTAGTGTTGAAACGTCTTAGGCGAAGCCTTCCTTTTGATTGAAAATTACATTTGCACAAGTGACGACATCAGATGTTTTTCTAAGAAATTTCTAATTGGTGTTTGCAGAGTGAACGAGTTCAGAAGGTACTAGAGTATGTGAACTTAATGCATCAACTTTGCTCGGTCATGAACATGGACTTCTTTCACGTTGTTACAGAAGTCCATCCCAGCTTGAGCGACTCACAAAATTTATCAAAAAGCATCAGCAATGAAACTCTTGATTGCCTCGCTAAGTCGATTCATTCGTTGAAAGCTGAGAAGAGAAAACGTGCGTTAAAGGTGATTTGCATGCTCAAAAAACTGAAATCCCACGGACCTAGGATAACCTGAAATCTGAAATCCCACGGACCTAGGATAACCTCATTTTCACTCGCAATTTTGTGATGAAATTTCTTCATGGTTACAAGTTAAGATTTCTCTATCCTTGGTATACCTGACTATGTTGTATCCCGCGTGATACGATGTACTTCATTGCAGATTAAAGATCTTGGAACTTCAATGGTTGAGCTGTGGAGGCTGATGGACACTCCTGTTGAAGAGCAGCAGGCATTTCAGCATGTTACATGCCACATTTCAGCAAGTGAAGATGAAATAATTGGACCCAGTTCCCTGTCGGTAGAAACTATCGAAGAGGTTTGTTGTACTCGCAATCTGATCTGGTACCTGCAGCAGCTTGTAATTGCTCCACTTATTTTCGAAATAGCCCTTGAATGAATCTTAGACTGCAAAACCTCAAGACAAATGCGCATACGTGTGACTGGAAGTCGTTTATTATCCTTTTACATCTCATGCTAAGCATTACCGTTGAGAATACTTGCTCATCAGGCTCAGATTGAGGTAGAACGACTGGATGTCTTAAAGAAGAGCAAAACTAAGGAGCTTGTATTGAAGAAACGGTTGGAACTAGAGGAAGTTTGCAAAAGCGGTCACTTGGAGCCGGATGCCAACACCACTGCAGACAAGCTTATTGCGGTGATAAACTCAGGTGTTGAATTCAACTAATAATTGAGGATGCGCAGTGCTGCTCAAAAGGTCCGTATTACAGTAAGTCTATTTACCATAAATATATAGCTTACGTAATTTGTACGAATGTCTTCAGGCATGGTGGACCTATCAGACCTTCTCGCAAATCTTGATGAGGAAATCGTCAGGGCAAAAGAAGAGGTAGCTAGCAGGAAGGACATAATGATTTTATTGGAAAAGTGGATGTCAGCTTGTGAAGAGGAAGGTTGGCTTGAGGACTACAGCAAGGTACTCAACTCTTATCTTCTTCGTATATTGTCATAGTGTAGCAATTTTACTTCAAAGTTTTTTTGCTGCAAAGCATTCTCGTTCGTTGCAGCACTGTCGGCTGAGTTTGATCATGCGTTGCAGGATGAAAATAGGTTCGCCTCTAAAGGTGCCCATTTGAACTTGAAACGAGCTGAAAAAGCGCGTGCAGCCATCAGCAAACTTCCTGGTATAATTTTGTTCTTTGGTCCTAGCTCTTTGAAACACAAGTAAAGAACTACTTTAGATAAGCATTTCAAGGTTCAGCATCCCTAATGTTCATGTGGATTGTTCGTTTAAATGTAAAATACCAACAAGTTTTATTGCCTTACAACAGTGATGGTGGAGTCTTTGTTACAAAGGACAAAGTCATGGGAAAATGAACGTGGCCTTCCATTTATGTTCGATGGGGTAAGCCTCTGAAATATTCTAAAGTTACAGCTAGTTGCCAGTTACTGATGATTATGAAGCATGATATTTCTTAACTGATCGTTAGTCCTGACCAAGTATGTTAACTTTACAGGTGCGTTTACTATCCATGTTGAATGAGTACAAGAATCTCAGGGAAGAAAAAGAGGAGGAGAAGCGCCGGCTCAGGGTACAAGCCGAAAACCCTCTTTCAAATTTAGTATTGAGCTTGCAGAACTTGAAATCTCATAACACAAGCAACTTTGTGATAACTTACACCTCTGGGTCATCTCCATCTTTGGATGACTGCGACCTTCCCAGGACCACAAAAAAGTTCAAGAACAGTTATTGACTGAAAAGGAGACTCTCTTTGGATCAAAACCCAGTCCTGCCAAGAGTACTAAGAAACCTGACAGAGGACCTCGGATGAGCAATATTGGAGCTAATGGACATACTCCAGCAAGTAGACGGTTGTCCCTGGGAAGCGCTCTTATGCAGCCAGCAACTCCAGATTGGTCTCGTAATGGACCTGCTATCTCATGGATGGCGTCGAGTGGTAACGGTAAAGCTGATTTGAAACGTGATCGAGTTCGACCTGCTGCCCCTCCCAATTTTGTTGCGATAGATAAAGAGAAACCAAGCTTTGGTGGTGGATCGGCTCCTCTTTCCCCTCGGATCCATCACTAGTCACCCTGTACGCGGCACGAGAAAAATCAGTAACCAAAACTTTATGATATTTAAACATTGGCGGTTATTCTCTGGGGTACATTTCTAGTTTTAATTTTTTTATAGTTTGTTATCATAGTTATGACAATGCTTACCCTGCTGGTACCATTGCGGATATTTCTGGTACCTTCTCGTGATGCCTCAAACTACACTTAATAGTTTTCTATAATTTTTATTTTTCTTGTGCAGTGCTCAAGTATATCGAGGACGATGTCTGTGAGCAGCCTCGACTTCAACCGTGAAACTTTACAACCTTCAGCTGCCGCCTCTTCAGATCAACAGTTCGCTGCCCTTCGAAGAGTGACCTGGTATTAGGTTCATGTCCTCCTGTGGAAGGTCGTGTCATATTGTTAAAAGAAATTTACCGCCAGTGGTGGCTTCAGCTCCGGTTTTTAGAAGAGTTCTGATAACTCAGGAATATCCATACCACCCATCTTTAGTTAAAAGCATTTGAACTTGTACTGATACCAAGCAACCTTTCCACTCTAGTTAGGTTACTTTGTATCAGTGTCCAGGTTTCTTAACTGGGTTATTAATGATAATTGCACCACTAGATCTGTAGCTGTTTCAGGGTCACTTGTTTCGCGCTAGGGTTAAGTGGAAGTTGAAAGGGGGGGAGGAGGGGGGGAACTGGTCTCATAAGCTGTGCATATTCTATCATTGTGAGTGAAGATCATTGGATCTTCAATGATCGTCTGATGTTATTGTAATTTATGCCGAATTTAGCTTGCAGCAATCATACGCAACTCTGATGTGGCATTTTCAGCACAATGGCAACTTGGCCGAAATTCCTACGAAGAGATTGAAATTTAATTCTCTCAAAATTTCAGAATGTTTCTTTATTTAAAATTGACCATAAAGAATGGAGCAGTTTTCTGGTGTATGCTCTGCCTGCTCTTGACTCAATTTTAGTAAATGAAGGAATGTCAAAAAGAGGCGTGAAAGAACTAATGCATGATATAATCTGTAACATACAGAAATTACAAAGATGCGTAAGAATGGATCTAATTTGCTCACCATCTCTGATGTGTACATTGTCTAATTGATTTATAAGTTGCATCCACAAGTAAAGACAATCTTCTATTGTACAATTTGGCACACAACTGCTGAAAATTTACAGAGAATAACTTCTGAAGCATACAAATGCACGCATCATTCTACATACTGTTTCACTTGATGGTATCATGTTCACAATTTTTCATACAGGGAAAAAAAAAAAAAAAAAAAAAAAAAAGAAAAAACACCTACCACGTACATACAAGATATACAACCAGGCCTGTCTTTAATAATCGCCCGACTAAATTACCTAAAATAGTATAATATAGGTACCTCTTTGAAATGTGGTAGGCAAATTTACATGAGGTTCAATGCTAATGAACGAGCAATATCGACCAGTTTTATTCAAAGCCATGCAAATCAATCTAAACAATTATTTAGAATCTACAAGTGCCTCAATTTGGATATACTACTTTGCATGTAGGACACCTTCAAATCCAAAGTGTGATAGACTTTTGTGGTAATTGTCTTCACCCACCTCAAGATAAAGAAGTCTGACTCCACAATACATGTATTGGGGAAGAGGTTTGCAATGCCACCACAAAACTTGACTAAGTTTGGAAAATGTGCACTAAACAAGGTCCAAACATTGTTAAATAATGTCTTCCCATTGCAAACATTGATGTTTGCTTGGAGAACAAGTTCATTACAATAAGTACAAAGAAGAGCTTTATACTTGTTGGGAATATGATTAATGTGCATTGTAGAGTAATGGTGCTACAATTGAAAGTTCTAACTATAAGCATTGTAAATGAAGTTGAGTGCAAAAATCAAAACAAGCTCTTATAATAAAATAGGCAATCCACAAATGTAGGCAAATGTGGATCTTCATGTCAACTATTGATTGTATCACATTGCACAAATATATCTTCAATGCAATCATAGGCTATAATAAAGATGAGGCCAATGTCTTACAACAGATGATTGCCTTTAAGTTCTTTGGCATCTTTGAGAAAGTCTTTAACTTAAGATGTAAGGTTAATGATAAATTTGTGCACATTGAGAATGGAGATTACATAGTGATTGCTCATGACATGTGTTGTTATATCCGAGCTCAAAATCATTTCGTCCATGAACAGGCTAGTTGCTTCAAGGTCTTTAAAGAAGAAGCTAATAAAAACCTTCAACTCTGCATCTTATTACAAGATTAATATTATTAGATTCTAAATCTTACAAAATTTCTTAGCATTGTATCCCATGAAAGTGTTTATTGTAAGCAAGTAAATCCATCAAAGTTAAAATGAGGCATTCATGGGTTCTTTTAGCTGAATGTAAGCAAGTGGCTTAGGTTGGTACTTTTTAAACCATATAGTACCCTTGTCTATAGAAAGCTAACAATTTATAATAAAAAAAGCATGTGATATCCATTTTTGCAATGAGATTTTGCTACTACATGAGGTGCAAAATGAAACCCATCATCACAAAGAAGATTTGTTCCTTTACTATCACATTCATGATATATTCCATGACTACAATAAGCTGATGCACTTTGCACCACATATAAATCAATTTGCAATCTTCATAAAAAGCTCCCTAAAGTCAGGTCACAATGTTTGCGACATAGTTAGTCATATTTTGAGTTCTATTGATCAACATGCCAAGAAGACATACCTTCTAATCAAGTTAAAACATATTAAGAAATTTAGCAACTATGTTGAACATCACTCCACTTATGTGCTACTCAAAAATTGGTAGCATGCAACCATATAAGTTAATGATGATGTGTTTTAATTATATATATATATATATATATATATATATTCAAAAGTATGCATTCAAATATGATATACTTTAGTAGGTTGCAAAGTCAAGTGCCAATGTGAATGCCCATGCACTCTATAACAATTTGAATAGCCATTGAAAATTGATGATATAAATCACCTTGACAAAATTGCTCACATTGTTGTGAATATAAGAACATAATGAAGAAGCAAAGAAGATTTCATACATCTTTCTAATAATATTGGCCATTATACAGAACAATACTCCATATGTAACACATTGAATAATAATGTTGAATAACTGTGTTTTGATGTTCAAGATCATGATAATATAAGAATATGATACCTTGTCTTTATTGTGTATTGACTCTATCCACTTAAAAAGTGACATAGCTTATTCCTTCACAAAAATTGTACAAAAATTGTTGATCGCAACACAACATTTAGCTTTACTACCAAATGTAGCCTATTCCTTCTTATTATGTTCGAGGTTACTATTGTCATAGCTGACTTTCTTTTCTATTGAATACACCATGTCACTGATAATGTCTTTGATAATGGCTTAGTTAATATTGAATATAATTTCATGTTGGCTTAAGTTTCAAAGATGAAGTGAGCATGCATCAAATTTCAAAATGGGACAACAATATCATCAAAGAAGGCATCTTCTTCCGCTTTTGACTTGGACCATATATACTCTTGAAATTTTAGAGTGTATAATTTTTTTATATGTAAGTCAATATTGTTATATAAAAATAGCATGTTCCAATCTTAAACATTGATCATAATCTTTTATTTTATTCTAATATTTTTCTCATGACCAAATTCAATGCAAAAGTAGCATTGTACCTTATTGATGATTAAAGTTTCAACAAAATGGGAAACAATTTTTAAACTATACTTTGCATCATTGGTCTTAATGTAGTTCAAACTATGCTTGTTCTTAGATATTGAAATTCGACGTCTAAAGGATACCAAAGAAAATAACTATCTATTACTCCACTTTCTTCTTGCTAGATTGAAACAATGACCTACATATAGTAACTATTTGCGACTCCAAACCCTAATATGGTTGCGATTGAAAAAAGGGCCTCAAGAGTTAATAACTACCACTTCACTCCGAAGATCAATTTTAAGTACATTTCAAAAATTCCTCTAGGCAATTAGTAATTTATTAGGTTTGATTCCAAGCATGTTAATATACGTATATTGTATATCTAATCTAGCATATATTTTTTAGATTGATTCTATACTAAACAATCTTTTTGGATAAAACAAGATTATGGTGGTGTCTCGGACATATATTTACTATAATTCTTACCTAGGTGATATGAATAAGTAGAAGTAGGTAAAAATAGATTAATTTCATAATAACTTTTAGAGAAGCTTCCTAGAAGCTTCATAGATGCTATTTTGACTTTACATGTGTTTATATTTGATTGGTAGGTTAGAAACTTGGTCAACAAGTTAACCATGTGCCACACATGTTGGTAGCTTGTGGAATAAGCTAACTATGTGGCGCCCACATAGAAAACTTGCCTTGCAAGTTAAGATACATATTGTGTAAAGTTAACATGTTTTTGGACGTCGTATAGAATGTCGCTACATAGCTCCTATATAGATAGTATATATAGAGGCAAGAGTGAAGCCTTCTTCACTCTTATCAACTCCTTTCTTGTTTCTAGTCTAGTTTCAAGGATCTCTAGTTATCTTGTCTTTTGACAATAGCCATTCTAATTTCTTTTTTATTATACATATTTAATTATTTTAATTTTTTCATCTTTCTTTGAGAAAAGTCTCACTTATTTATTTGACTTTATCAAGTTTTTTTCCTTGATAGATTGACAAGAGTGTACTTACAATATCAGAGCTTTGTTTAATCTTCATTAAGAATAGATTATCTCTTTCTCTTGATAAGATATAAGCATATTAAAAGTTGCAGATTATCCTTTTTTAAAATGATATTGCTCTTAGTATTTTTTTTTTCTCAAGTCCTCTCTTTTATTTATCTTGAGCGATATTAAACATCTTCTCTTTTTTAAGTGTTATCATGGTAGAATTTGCTAAAATAAAGAGTGCAATGGCATAAATGTAAGAGCAATTGAGGGAGTTAATGCTTGCGATGCATCAACTCAATTTACTACTACAAGGAGTAATAAGATTGGCAGGAAGTGAAGATATAGAAATGATTGGAGCTGCTTCAACATCTGCACCAAATCATGTCCCTTCTCCTATGGTGGAACATCCTTCCAATGTTAGAGAACCAAGAATTATCCCATTCGAGAAGTTTGATGGCACTAGATCAAAATTTAGAGGTTTTATCAATCAAGTACAACTTATGATTGAACTTCAACTCCAAAGCTATCCAACTCCAAGATTGTAAGTTAAATTCATTGATACACTTCTTTGAGGTTTAGAATTATCATTGTTTTCATCTTTTCTTGAACAAGAAGATCCAATATTAGATAATCTGGAGGCTTTTTTGGCAAAGTTTTGATCCATGTATAGAGAACATGATGCAATTGGTGTTGCAACCAATAAGATCCATATTTTTTGACAAGGCAATCAATCAGTAGCATTATATGCTTCATAATTTTGACAACTTGCAATTGATATCAAATAGGATGATACTGCACTTGCCAGCCAATTTCTCTATGGATTACAATATGAGGTAAAAAAAATAATGCTCAACTTACGTAATCCTCAAATATTGAGTCAAGCAATTGACTTTGTTGTGAAGTGCGACAATTGTCTTTTTGAATTTTGATCTGAGAACCATACAAAAGGACCTCAACATTACTATAATTCAATGGCAATACCAACATCTCTTCAACACAGACATTCAGAAGTAGAGAATATGTAAATTGATGTAGTACATTTCAAATCTCTTACTGAGCAAGAAAAGACTCTTCATCGTCAAGAAGGATTGTGCTTATATTATGAAGAACCTAAGTACACTACTCAATATTGCTTAAACAAGTGATGCAACTATAAAATGAGGAGTATGGCTATCAAAGAAGATAGTATGTTGGAAAACGAGTTTGTCCAGCTATAATAGAAACCAT